AATATTTTTAATTATTATAAAATGACAAAAAGCTTAATTTTCAGGGTAGGGATGGATTTTATTAAAAATTGTAAATGCTAATAACAAGGAAAATCATTAAGTCCGATTCTACTCGAGATATGACACACGACCTCCTTTATCTCCCCACCCCGTCGGCCTTTAACTACCAAAATTTAATAGAATCAATCTTCCTAATAAACAAACCGCCCTGCAAAATTTCAGAAAATTTCGACAAAAAGCACAGGAGTTATTAAGCTTCAAAGAGGGTGAACAAAATCGTGCCCCCCACTCATTCATATATACAGAAGAAACCCAGAGTTGTTTTGCGTTTCAAGGTCCCGAAATACAAAGGTCCCGAAATTGTCCCCAAGGTACAAAAATGTAAAAATCTTGGGGATCATTGTTTGACCGATTGCCATACTTTAGTGAAATGTCATCTCTTTTAAGCAACGTATTGTTAGATAGAGAATGTTTAATATTTATTATAATTTGCATATTTTAGTTTTACTTTGCTGTTAATTTTTATTACATTTAAAACTTTTATGTGTAGCATTTTTTTCTTGGTAAAAACGCTATTTTCAATTAGTAGTTCTAACCTAGAGTACCGATAGCCAAATGGCGGAAGATGTCAGCCTACCATTCAGTAAGATCTTTTTCGGGACAACTGAGTGACTTCTTGATTATGACTGAAAGTGCTTTAAACTATATTTCTAACTTAGATTTACATTTATGATTTGTGTTCTTACTTTTTCTGCTTTCTGTTCTTGTTAACAATTAGATGTGTAGCCATACGCTAAATAAATAAATAAATCTGGGAACCCGGAAATGACTCCAGGCAGTCCATTCTTTTTGTGGGTGGTCTGCCCCGGGTATATTAGACACTGTCTCTTACCACCTGGCTGAATCCATGATGAGCACGGATAAAAAGTCTTCTAGTGCCCACTGAGCAGAAAAAATACCTAGAGTACGCAATAATACATCACGGTTAATGTATCTAATCATGTTTGTTTCATATATTCATTGGTATCCTTAATTAAGAATAGAACTAAATAATAATTATGACATACACATTATATATATATAAATTGCTTTATATAATTTCGTTTAAATACAGCAAAACCTTTATTTAACGGACAACATTTCCGGTCGCTACGTCGTATGTGAAAATCAACAGCCTGCTAATTTAATTACACATAAAAAGCAATTTATAATTAACAGGTTACTTTTTTTCAAGAGTCACCACTCTTAAGAACATTATTTGTTCACTTAAATACTGTACAATTAAATTTTTTTCCAAAATTGTTTATTTCGATTTAGAGATTGTATATTTGTTTACTGCAGTCTGAAAACTGTGGTGAGTACATAAGAAACGATATGTATAGAAACTTTTCTGTGAAATCAAACTTCTCATAGATAGTTAATTTTAATTACGCAAACGTATCTACAGTCCCGTTTGCAATGAACTTCGTTCACCATTTAAATTTTCAAAAATTTACGTAAATATAACGTAATATTAATAAAAAGGCTATAAATAATTCCTTCTGTAAATAAACAAGTCCATTCCAATAGCTTACTACCCATGATTTCGTTACTTCGCAATATATAGCTAAAAATATATAGTGCAAATCTTGCAACCGTTTGGCAACACATTGCAATAAAGTTCGTTCAGAAAGGATTTTTAGAGAATTTTCTGGAATTTCTGGTAGTTTTATTACGTCACACATCCAGCATATAAAAAGCAAATAATCTTTAGCGGTTAATATTAATGTCTGTATGTGAAAAATGGCGAAAGGTAAAGCAATACTAGAACTGATCAGGTAAATTATTATCCAGAAGTATAAAGAAAAGGACTCTCATTGCAGTATCGCATGTATCTCAGTCTACAGTCCAGGGAATCCTAAAATGTTTTCGAGAAGGAGAAACACTCGTCCAGGAAAAGCTTTAGGAAGAAAACTATGATACTTCTCATTTCCAGACAAATACGGTCTTTCAACGCTATATTACCTAAAAGAGGCAAGTTTCCATAGCATGTTTTTCAAAGTGAGCAAGGGAATGCTTTAATATCCCATTATCTGAATGCACAGTGTGAAGATATATCCGACCACGCAACAAATCCAAGGGAAAACCATTCATAAATGAATCAGACAAGTGCAGAAGCTAAACTTCTGCACTTGCCTGATTCATTTATGAATGGTGTGTGCCAGAACTCGTTTGAAGTGGACAAATGCTGATTGGAAGAAAATACTATGGTCCTATGAATCAACATTTTATGAAAGCCATGGGAAAATAAGCAAAAAAGTCATTCTTACTAAAGATGAATAACAAGCTGGATTATAGCTTCAAGACAAGTCCAGAGCCACAGTCTTTAATGGTTTGGGATGCAAGATCGCAGCGGAAGTTGGACATTTAGATGATGGTGCTGTAAACTATGAAGCCTATATTCTAATCCTTCAGCAACATCTACGCGAATCAAAACGTAAACTTTTCCAAGCATGAGCCTCTATTTTCCAGCATGACAACGCCAATTAGTCTTGGCTGCAGTCTAATCATATTCGTGCACTCCCCAGGCCAGCATCAAATCTAAACTTGTATCCGATAGAAAATGTAGAGAGATTTTTGAAAAGTAATATGCCGTCCTTGCATATTAGAACAATTACATACGAATTTAAGCGAAGAGTGGGAAAAAATTTCCATGCAGTTGCTGCACAAGTTTGTATCTTCCATGCCTGAATGCCTTGTAAAGCGAAAAGGCGATGATTCCACGTAATTACAGAATCTTAATACCTTGAACAAAGTTAAAAGAAACGTGTTGCAAAGACTCTGTAGATTATAAATTACATTCTTTAATAGCAAAATACTTTCCCGAAATCTGAGATTCTGATATGTTTGCACGATCGATGATTTATATAATTTTTATAATTTTTTTTTTACAAAAATAAAATAATTCATAGTACAATGCACAGATGTTTAAGTTTTTATTGGTAAACGAAATTCATTGAAAGCGGGGTTTTACTGTACAGTACATGTACTGTACATAAGTAAAAACAAATTAACTAATTTGTCAATTTTTTAAACACTCGCATACGAAAAACCCACTTTAATTATACAGTGGACTTTCGGCTTTAACGACGACTCTCGTCCGAATTAGTCTGTTAAATCGGTTTTATTGTAATGAAATTAATTAATAAAAACTTTTTTACAGAAACAGAGGATGTAGCCAATGCTGTACTGTTTCTACTGAGTGATAAAGCAAGAATGATTAATGGAGTAATTCTCCCCATCGACGGAGGCCAGGCTGCTAAATAAAAACAAACATACGAGTATATTCTTATTCGCTGAATATGAACGTCTTTAAAAATATATTTAAAATTTTTAATTTCTAGCTTGTAAATTAATAAATTTTAGACTAGGGTAAAAGCACTAATAATTAACACACTAACAAAAATAGAATATTTATTTTCTTATTAAGTTGAACTTATTTTTTGTTTCAGAATAAATATTTAAGTGTAATTGCTATTCAAAATTTCTGTACTTAAAAATTAATTTTTGAGAAATAAATGGTTCAAGAATAAAAAAGATTTTTTAAATTACTAATGTCCTTGCACTGTTAGTTGACAAAGTCTAAACAAAAAACACAAGTTGATATACTATTTGGCTATCAATAGTCGACATTTAACCATCAACATCAATTAGTGTAGATATGTATTGTATTAATACTTCCAATTAAAAACTGATTGTAACTGGAAACAAGATTAACCAATCATTTTTTTTGCATTGGAAGTACGTTTATCGCTTGTGAATAAGTAGTAATTGTAATATAAGATTCATTTTGTTTCAAAACAGTCTGTCATCACAGCAATTCATTGTCATAAGTTCGAGATTTGTCTTTTAGTATATTCCGAACAATGCACACATCTGTAGAATTTTTCCCCGAGAAAATATCCTGGAAATGCCAACCATTAGTACATTAACAAACTTTAGTTCCTTTACCTTAATAGTAAAAAATTTGATTTCATAAGGAAGATAGTACTGAACTAATATTTAAATAAAATAGGAATGATGATAATGAACTTATTCATAATATTAAGTATTATTTATTATAATATTTAGTATTATGAATAAGTTCATTATCATCATTATTTGCTGAAACATTTTACTCTGTAATAATTTAAAATAAAATACGAAAAAAAACTTTAATGAAAATTATAAAGCATGCAAAGAGATAAGTAGCCACATTTTCTTGTGCCTTTTCCATTGAGTCAATAGAAACAATTTTTTTTTTAAATTTTGGCCATCAATCCTTTACTTGCAAAATATCAGCCCTTTCCACCCTTCTTAATACACGAGGATTTTGTTTTCCTTATTCTACAGCTGCACATAATCCGAAATGTAAACTCGACCAGGCCTTTTGTTTGTCTTTAATTATTCCGAAATTCCTATTGCAGGGTAAGAGTGGCTCGTACTGGAAAGAAGTGGCACTCTCACTGAAATCTTCTCTCTAGTGGTTAATATTATTTATAAACGAGCAAGTGCATTATTTTGTCAACCACACACGTCCAGCTTAGAAGTGCAGTTTTTTTTCACTTCGGGTAAAATAAACACATTCTCTTTAATGTAGCTGAGGAGAAAAGTACAGACTTTCTTTACGATGTCTTCATGATATAGCCTACATAAATGACCCATCGCTGCAGTTAAAAAAAAAATCTTGCATTGGGATATGCGGTAGTGTGTTTAAAATCGGAGAAGCAAAGACGTTACCCACTTTACAACTAAACGAAAATAACAATCGCCATTTCCTGATAACTTTACATATACTATTAACTCATTCTGATCGTTCACAGCAAAAACAAACTAAACCCGACTTTACTTGAATACCCTCGGCATTGTGACTTATCTCGTTTTGATTCTCACGTATTCACTTATTTCTATGGACTTAAAATGTATAAAGTGAAGAAGGATTATTTCATCTGTGATGAATTAAAAATAAATATTTTTAATAAAAATATCACTTATTACAAAACTAAACAATATTTACAAAAATTATTTCTTAAAACAATATAAACACACACAGTTATTAAAATATCTCATATGAATTAATTGAACTCTTACGAAATTGTAGTTTATAATAATCTGTTTTGATATCGCGTAACAGTAAATATTTGAATTCCTAATTTTCAAACAAATTAACAGTAAACATCCGTTTCTTCAATTTCTGCCATTTAGTTCAGCTGCCTTGTTTGTAATTTTATTCTGAAGCTTTAAGAAAAAAGGTTCGAGTATCCAAAATATCGCACACGAGCATTGCATCACTCCAAACGTGTAAAATAACAAATCATAACTTTGATAAACGTCTCTATAGAAACCTGTAAATTAATTTTAAAAAGTAATTAAAAAATTCTACACAATAAGCTATTAATTACATAAAATAAAATATACTAAGGCTGAAAATAAGGCTGAAAGGCTTCATACTAAGGCTTTAGTGACAGCTACGCTCTTAACCGTAGCTGTCAATAAAGTTGATTGCTAGAGTTTATAACCTCAAATCAATAAGAATGAGAATCGCTAGTACAGTAGAGAGTCGTTTATCCGAAAGAATTCCAGTCGGCAAATTTAAATTTTCGCCAGTGCTGTGGCGCTGCAATCTTTGGCAATGTCTTGGGCTACTCAAATATTTTACGTTTTTGATACTAAATTAACTTCTGAAGTATAATTCTTTATTGTTTTTTATATTTTTCAATATATTTATTTTGTTTGTACAAAATAAAGAAGTAATTTTTAACCATACAATAGTCTTCGTTAGGCTTAACATCGACGAAAATTCAACGCGAAGCGACACGCAACGGAGAAAAATTTCAACATAGGATAGGTTAATATATTTTTTCGTACATAATCGGTTATCCGAAATATCGATTTTTTTTCCCGAACAACCCCGGTCCCCAATTGATTCGGATAAACGATGCTCTTCTGTATTCAGTATTCGTTCAGTTTTGAGGCTTCTGTCTGGTCAGGAAGTATGAATAGATTTTTGATGCGATTTTTCATAATTTTGTTAAGCAAACTTTAAAAATATCATTCCATTATTTTTAAAATAAACTGTTACATATTGTTATTCCTCGCTAACTCTATTAATTTATAAAATCTGAATTAATGAAATAAGGGTTAAAATTAAGAAATAAAATTATATACTGTATTTTAACAGTATATAATTTTATTTCTTAATTTTAACCCTTATTTCATTAATTCAGATTTTATAAATTAATAGAGTTAGCGAGGAATAACAATATGTAACAGTTTATTTTAAAAATAATGGAATGATATTTTTAAAGTTTGCTTAACAAAATTATGAAAAATCGCATCAAAAATCTATTTTTATTAAGTTTAAAAAGGAAAATTAACTTACCTATGAGAAAAGGCAGAGATAATGATATAACACCCAATAATAAAGCGCCAGTTCCCAAAGCACCTGTAAGGTTTGATAAGGGCAAATATTCGGTAAAACAAACGATCCAATTCGTAAATATGCATCCATCCACATAACCAGAAAACGCAGCAGAAAAACATAAGGGGAGAAAATCTACACAGAAAGGCAATGTGGTATATAAAATGCCTAATAGCAAAAACATTATGATCGAAACAGTTCTCAAAGTCAAAAACTTAAAATCAATAAACCATCCAATAGTCAATCTTCCAAGCAAATCAAACACTGCAAATATTGTAATTAAAAATGAAGACGTTTCTTCTTCAATTCCATGATCTAGTTCGTAATCTACAATGATGAGAAGATAAGAGTAGTAACAAAAACAAAACAATCCGAACGAAATTGTAATAAGATAATACATTGGATATCGAAACACTTGTCGCCATTGCTTTAGTTCGTCGATAACATTTCGAATTTTGCTTGATTTCTCCGTTTCTTTTGTAACCAATGAAAACTGATCTGAAGTTCTAGAGTCTATAGAAGTTGATTCTATTTTTTCATCATCTATATCTTTTTCAATATTTGGTGCGGAACGATATAATAAAGCCGCTGGTAAACCGTTTAAAGCAATTCCGGAAAGTAATAAGAAACAGCCGTTAATGCCGTATTCTTCTATAAGATAAGTTATTAATGGTGGAAGAATCATGCAACTTGCTGATAATCCTGCAAACAATATCCCGGTAGCGATAGTTTTATATTTATTAAAATATTGAGAAATAAGGATTATGCTGGATCCATTGACCAACCCTTCACCGAAACCTGAAAAATACGAATAGAATAAGCACTTCATATTAACGACTATTAGAAAAAGAAACTTCAGTTTCTTCTTACATAATAAAATAAAAATCCATAAAATTTTTAAATGCCTATTTAAATATTGTAACAATATTAAAAAAAACTTGAATTTACTGGGGAGGTTAAGTTCATAAGGTTAAGGCTTGACATTTTAAATGTTTCTTCAAGAGTTTTATTACTCTTGAAGAAACATTTCATATTCAAGTGCAGTGAATTATTTAAAATTTGACATTCATTAACATGAAAATTTCTAAGCATTATGAATATGTTGAAAATATTATTACATCTTAGAATAAAATCTTTGTAAAGTTATGAAAAATTTAACCATATTCAAAATTGTAGCGTACAACTGGAGGAAAAGAATAAAACAAGTAAAATCCAATCTTTGAGATTATATATATATATATATATATATATATATTGATATCTAGCGTAAAATTGCATTCATTAATAGGCACACTGTATGATAAATAGATATACAAATGAATTATTTAATGTTAAAGTGTAAATCACATTTTACTAGAAGAGTGAAAACTTCATACTTCGAAAATTCAGATAAAACGCGCAAATGAAGGTGTGCTATAATTTTTTTTTGAATCTATATTAGAGAAACTAGTTATGTCCGTGCGAATAATTATTATGTGTTTTTTAGAGAGAAAGAGAGATTGAAAACAGACAGGGAATTGTAAGGCAGTAGTCCGGCAGTCCACGATCGCCAGACCTTGTGCCTCTGGTTTTTTTTTTCTGGTGTTATGTGAAAGGCCTTGTGTACAAACGAAAGCGAGTGACATTGGTGAACTTAAGCGACGATTTACTGAAGTCATACAAACGGTTACTCCGGAAATGCTGTGGAACACATTGCGAGAAATTAAATATCGGTTGGATGTTGTTCGCGTCACAAATATAACCCATATTGGAATCTGCTAATGGCGAGTATTTGTTAACAACTGGGAACTGCTGTATGATTTGCTATCAAGTACATCTTCCTAAGTTGTTTGGTTTATTTACAATTCATTACAAATGATCTTAGCGCAATTCATTAAACACCCTGTATTATTGTAAAAAAGTTATTGAAAGTTGTCAGTGCTGCATGTAGCGAAGGTAAAGAGAAGTAAATATACAATGTTTAGAAAAATGTTTAACAAGTAACAATCTGATTTCTGTAAAGTTTGAATGGGTTAGTTTACCACCAATTAAAATCTCGTTATTTAAATAAAGTTCGATAGTTGATTTTATGTTCTTAAAAAAAAAAACTATAATGTAAAAGTATTCAGTTTCAAAAGCTTAACATTTAAAAATATTAAAATTTTAATTAATCTTTCAGGTGAATCTTGTATTTAATTTTTAAAATTAAAAAAATGATTTTTTATAGATAAAATGTTAACTACTAAAAATAAATTTAGAAACTTACCGTTAAGTGCTCCATACAGTATACTTAAGGAATATATGTCTTTAGAAAAATATGAAAATGCAATTCCAAAAAAGCATATTAAACATGAAGACACTACTTGGACTCGGACGGACAGAATTTTCAGCAGCAAACCAGAAATGCTAACTAAAAGTAAAAATTATTATTATTATTATTTTATTAAAAATACTTTTAGAACATTAAATGTAGTAGAACCCCGATTATCGGAGGCGAACACGTAAGTGAATACACTGCTATTATTATACTGTAATTCATAAAAGAAATTCTAAAACGATAGCATGCATTACAAAACGAGCAATTATTTATTGTGGCATCTTCACAATGCCAGGCTGCAATTTTTCATCATATTTTAAATTTAACTTTAAAATCTATGCTCTCCACTTTAAATTAGTATTGTAGTGTCTTGCCTCTGTATATCATACTTTTCCGTTAAAGACAGACGGATGACAATTTTTTTTTTTCAAATTACAGCCTAATTACAGTACTAAACTTAAAACTTATAAAAAAAATTAATTTAAAAATCGTTAATATTTTTTAATCGTAGGAATTTTATTGTAAAAACCTACCTCCTATAAAAGCAAATATATTTCCAATAGTGAAAGGCCATGAAGCTTCTAATCTAGAAACATGAAATGTATTTACAACTGATGAGAATATAACACCCGATGAAAATATAATTCCTCCAATTGTTAAATGAGTCCAGAAACACGCACATGCTATCACCCATGCCCAACCTTTGTCTACAGAGTTTAATTCCATTCTTATTCAACTCTTCAAAATTTTCAGCTGTCCAGTAGATGACAGCACTAAGTTTCACATTCACTAATATCGAAACTGAATAATCTCTCTTTATAAAAGGAAGCGGAAGGGTAAACATAGACTTTGTTTTATTACATATTTACTTTCATATTGGAAATTTTAGATTAAATATAGTCTGTAAGTGTGCGCACTCAAAAAAAACTAAACCTTGTTATATAAAATTTAATGATTTGATTTGAAGTTAATATAAAATATAACATACGAATAACGAAATTTTAAAACAAAGAAAATGCAACAGCAGTTTGTTTACTTATAATACTGACATAAAAGGAAGCGGAAGGGTAAACATAGACTTTGTTTTATTACATATTTACTTTCATATTGGAAATTTTAGATAGTCTGTAAGTGTGCGCACTCAAAAAAAACTAAACCTTGTTATATAAAATTTAATGATTTGATTTGAAGTTAATATAAAATATAACATACGAATAACGAAATTTTAAAACAAAGAAAATGCAACAGCAGTTTGTTTACTTATAATACTGACATACTGATTTTAAAATAGGTTATCATAATTACTATTTTAAAATTAGTGTATTAAAGTAAAATAATTTTTAAAATAGTAAAAGATCTTGCGTAATAAATTTTTAAAAATCTCATATCAGTTTTTTTTGTGAAGAAAAAACAGTTTTAGATATAATAGTGGCAGATCATAATTATTAAGTGCAAATNTACCGAATAGTAACCGAATATTCGTTACATCACTAATAGAAATGTTGCGAAGACAACCAAAAATGGCCTTTTGCTCTTCAAAAAGTACAAATTATTCCTAGATATATTATTGTTAAAAACAATAGTTCCCGTGGAAGTGTGTTTGGGATTATTTGTACGCGTATCCGTTTCTTCGTAATTAAATAACCGTTCCCGTTTTCTCCATCCGAATACAAGAAGAATTTTTTTACCATTTTCTGTCATAAATACTTAAACGTGATACAGGGTTTAAGCTACTGTGGTTTAATGCATTTCCTGTGGAGCACTACGTCATATTACCACGAAAAGCTTAAAAAATCAAAAACTAAACTCCTGAATGGCGGGCCAGCTTTAGGCACGGGGCCCGTTGTCCGGCTCTAACTGCGGCACCGAACAAAGCCAAACGTTTCCATTGATTCCAATGTAAAAGTGGACGATGTGCACACATTGCCAGATGCAGTGCCAGCAATTCGGGGGTTTCTTCTATAGCGTGATGTAAAAATCAATAATAGTCTGTGGGGGCAAGATATTTTTTACGAAATTTGAAGCTTATTATCTGCTGAGAATTTTAAAAATTTCTGAAATTTTGCCGTTAGATTTGTTTATTTCGCCCATTTGTTTTTGATATGTTTAGGAAAATGAGAACACTGAATAGGGAGGAATGGCTTCATCGTATCTTTTGAACCAACCTGAAGACATAAATTATGATGGATAAATAAAAATGATGGAAAAAAATAGAGAATGTTTGAAAAGTCCGGAAATAATGCTTGCACTTTTCGACTTTTGACGTGCAATTGAAAATTTTTCTTTGGTTCCAATCGACACAAACAGTTTTTTGCAGTGCAAGAATAACAGAAGAACAAAAGTATGGATTGAACAGTCATCCAAGACCTCAGTTCTTCGTTTCGCAAAGTTTATCTTCAAGAGTTTTCTGTATTCTTATGCATATATATACATTTTCTGGTTCGTTTCGTCGAGCTGTCTCGAACGGCGTTTCTTCTTTTCCGGATCAAGTGTTTTTTCCAGAGCTACGGCTTCCGGAAATTTGGTACTTCTGATTGCTTTTTCCGAGGTTCGGTTGAACGTAAGTTGTCTTCTCACTTATCGTTATATTTGCCTTTTTATCCCCTGTATCATGGTAATTCCGATTTCCTTTGTCTTTATTACTCTTGTTTTTTCGCCACTGTTAAACCTTAAAAAGTTTAACGACGTTTGAACGTAACGTAGGTGCCAACTCTAAGAGGCCGGAACCCGTTCGACCCTCAGTAATATTTTAAAAGATTTCGCCCCCAAGTTGAATGTTAAAAAAAATAATTTCTATTTTTCAACTTTGAGGAAGCTGGCATCGTTGAAAATAATATTGGGGCTTACGGGTTCCGGCCTCTTAGAGTTGGCAACCATTGAACGTATTCATAAAACATTTCGATAATTGAACTGTGATTGATTTGTGCCATTTTACCACGCAGCAAAGGCTTCGTTATTCACCGTTTCAAGATGGCAGAAGAAACATTCAACGAATACTCTGCCTATTTATTAATGATATAGTTATTAAAGTTATTTGATATTATTATCAAAAGAAGTACAGTAATTTTTACCCTTTGGATGCCAAAGAGCGCTGATGATCACGAATAACAAGTACGAGCCTTTTCCATTCAAAATGTAACATTTTTAGCTATTTTCATTAAACCATTATAACTTCGTCGGATTTTATTTCTTTTGACTTTGTTTATGATCTCAGACAATATTTTTTCCCGTGGCAAATTTTTCTCACCAGAAGTGTTTGCATTTATAACTATAACCATACGTTAATTTTATTATTGCAAGCGAAGACAGGTGCTCAGTTTAAAGCAATAATCGCATTGTCTAAGATACACTTCTCGTTAGCCCTGTTATTCTATTTGGGAAACGTCTTCATTTACTCCTATTTTTGATTAACGGAGCCAGAGCCAAACCCCTAACTACGTCGTCAAAATCTAATTTTTCGCATATTTGTGTTGTATGGACAATAGATTCGGGAACGTATTCAAACATTGCAATTCATTGGTTATATCAACTTAGCATAGACACGAAATATTTGAATTTCGTACAAATCGTCACCTTTATATCCCGATTATATTGGTTCTTCGATGCTAAATCTAAATCCATAAATGATTCATAAGGTCGTCCTCGTCTTTAATATAGAAATTAGTGTTGTAACGAATAGTATATTCGGCCTCAGGCCGAATACCGAATATTCGGCCAGGAGCGTGGCCGAATAGCCGAATATTCGGNTATAATAGTGGCAGATCATAATTATTAAGTGCAAATCAGACTGAAGCCCTAAGTACCGCAGCTTTTGCAAGGGGTATTTCTATAATAGTATGCTATTTTGTTGCCTTAACTAAAAAAGATGGTGAGAATAGATTGTACAGTACATTCTAAAACTATAAATTAGAATTATAAAAATTACTCAATATAGATGAATATAAAAAATAAACGAGCAATTATTTATTGTGACATCGTAACAATGCCGGGCTGCAATTTTTAATCATATTTTTAATTTATTTAATTGAAAATATATGCTCTCCACCTCAAATTAGTAGCGTCTTGGCCCTGTACATCGTACTTTTCCTGTTAGCAATAGAGTCGTATCGGTCATATATTAACTCCTTTCAGGGGAAGTTTTGAATTGAAATAAAGTGATTTCCTGTTTGCATATGGTTAATTGGGCCTCCTGCCCATAATATTTCCATATCTGGTCACGGCTTTCATCTATCTAACTCCAACCGAGATTAAGAAAGGACAGACACGACAGTGGGAATTTATAGATCTACATTTCTTTCAAATTGCAGCCCAATAAGTAGTATTCATACTCTTTTCCTTATTAGCCCCTTCTCGTTAAAATAAGAGTTGTTTTACACATACTATATGACGGTAAAAATTTGAGACCACCTAATAGAATTCTCAAATTATTTTTATTCCAAGTTCCAAGAAAGCACGGTTTTGACAAGGCAACAACATAAAGGCAAAGGCAATCTGTCAAAGGGTGCCTTCGAGAGATCTTTACAGAAAACCTGTCCATTTAGATGTTAGGCACGGGAAGGAAACCCGATAACTCCACGAGGAAGATCGTATGTCAGGCACAAAACTGCAACCGGCGTTCAATTGTTTTATCTATTTGACAGCTGATGGGACCAAAAAAGCATGCTTCACGATAATCAGTCAAATAGAAGAATTCACGATAAAAATACTGCATATTATATGTAAAAAATAAATTTTATAAAACAGAATGACTATATTACAGGTGTACTTGATTTGGAAAGATTATGAAATTACTATGTTGTTTTCTTATCTAAAGTAGAAAATATTTGCTAAACAAGCTTTAGTTTGTGTAAAGTTTTATTATAAAATATTTAATTTTATAATAGTTTTTCGAATTGATTTGTTGGCCATTTTCATTTAAACTATTTTCTCGGGTGAAATTGTGAAAGAACGTTTGCGAAACGTTCTTTCACAATTGATGAATTTTTCTGCTTAAACCTTATAAACTTTAATCTATTTCATCGAATTTTTAGAAATAGGACATGCAAATATAATCAACTTATCATGTATGTACATTTGATATTCTTTAAGATAACATATATACTAACAGGAATTAGATTTATATTTTTTACTTTTTCCATATCAGAAGAGGGCAGTTGAAGCGAATTTAAGATAAGGATTACATTCATTTTTTAGCTTTTCCCTATTACGACAACTATTATTAAATTCATGATTTCTCTATCTCTAATATTATCTATCTGTAAAGTTTATTTTCTTTCCAACAAACTATACAGCGATTGTTTTGTATTCCACTCTCTGCATTTAATACTCTCTTAGTTCCTCAGCTATCCATCATCATCGAGGAAAAGAAAACGTATTTCCTGGTTTGTTTGTAAGTTTTCTTTTGCTCATCACCTTTTCAATTTGGTGCTTTTCATACTGTGTTCGGAATTTGTAACTTTAAAAGTTGGAAACTTAGATCTAGCTTAGATCGAAATATGTTTTGAATAAGAAAATGTTTTGCATAATAGCCTGTTGAGTGTTGATAAAATTTATTACTGTATATTTAATTTCTTTTCCAAACCACAAACTGTTATCCAGGTTGTAATTAGTAGAAAAAAAAATTGTACTCTGTTCGGAAGTATACAGGATTTCAAAAATTTCAAATATAGCAGTCGACATAAGAATTTTTCTTTTTCTGTATTAGCAATTACAAAAGACAAATACCATTAAAAAATAAATTCGAATTACAGATTTAATTTAGAACAAAAGAGAAAAAAGTAGCAGCTGCATATATAATACAATAGAAGTTCGTTAATCCGGTACTTTCTGGATCAATACCAGATTACCAGGCGACTTTGTATTTTACCAAATTCGATATGCGATCTTAACGTTGTAAACATAGCTATAGGACTATATTCTTTTACTAGCGCATGCTGATTCATGCTTTCAATTTGTTTACGCACGCTCTTTAATCAGCCTGAAGCCGATACTGTGCATGACAATAGAATCATTAAATTTATCAGGCAATTATCGTTGTTCGTTTAGTAAACTATAAAAAGTTAATATTGAAAAGTAAGAATATATTAATTTTATTTCTTAAAATGTACTCATTTATATTTAAAAAACTTTTAGAAAATATTAATTATTTTAAAAGTTTCTATTATGACTCGTTGCGAAGAACGATTAACACAGACATTTGTTATGAATAGTATAAATTTTAATTAAATTTATTTAATTTTAAGATACTTACTTCCTATAAAAGCAAATATATTTCCAAGAGTAAAAGGCCACGATGCTTCCTCTCTAGAAACATGAAAACTATGTACCACTGCCGGAAATACAACTCCCGACGTAAGAATAACTCCTGCGACTGTAAAATGTGTCCAAAAGCATGCAAATGCTATGACCCAAGCCCAACCTCTGTCTATAAAATTCACTTCCATAATAGATATTGTCTTGATTCAAAATGTTTGAAAAAATAATGAAGAAAACTATCATTAAATATCAGCATTCATTAACGTTAATAACTTATCTTTAGTTATCAATTCGAAGAAGTATAAGTTTAAAGAGCGTTTAATTGAAATGATTTTGATTTAGCTATCGTTTTTGATTAGATAATTTGAAAATAAAACTTTCTTAAAATGACGTGCAGGAAAAATATCTTCATTCGTAAACGCTCCAAAAGCTTAACGCAGTAAAATTAATGATTGGATTTGTGAAATTTACATGTGGACTATTTCAAAAAGTATTTTTAAAATAGTTTTTTGAAATACGGAAAATTTTAAAATACTTTTTGAAATTTTCTATTTTTTGTGAATTAAATAAACCAGCAGAAGATTACAATAGTTATTTAAATTAATACTTTTCATTTACATAAGAAAAGCAATGAACATTAAGTCTTAATTAAAAGTGGCATGATAATTGCCTTTAGAAACATGCCCAATGTCTCGCTATTTCTAAATTAAAATAATTTGAACTAAATATGGACAATTATAGATACATTTTTGATTGAAAGAAAATTTCATTTTAAATGAAATAACCGGTGTTATGCACATATAATTTTTCTTATGAATATTTATTTTTTACTATATTATGTATACATTTATTTATTACTAGCTGTGTTACCTGTCATTGACGGGAAATACTTATTTCGTGAAATTATATTTACTTATCTAAAGAGTATATCTCTGGAGAATTGTTTGTTACAGATTCATAATATAGTATACCTATTAAAGATGTGCGATATATTTTCTAGATTAATTTATTGCATAACCTCCTGATATACATTTCGTGTAATATTATCAGGGGTAGAAATAAGCAGAGATTTGCAGCTACTAACACGTGAGCATGCAACATAGAGTTGGCGATGTGAAAAGCAACTTTATATGAGTTGCATTCATGAATCATTATCTGAAAATCACTTATTAAGTTAAACTTTAAAGTTGGAAGTTGAGCCATTCTTTGACTTAACTAGGATTGATAGTCTTCAACAAAAAAAAAAAAAATCTGCCAAATATCTTCAATGGCAGCTTCATCTTGTGCAGAAAGTAAAGAACCTATTAAATGATATATCTGTCCTTAAATTTAGAATGTTGCCATAAAATTTCTTTCGAGTATTTCAGTGGCACCAAAACATGTCATTTTAAAGGCCCTACTGTAAGCTCTAATGTTCTTTAAGAAATGTTTAGTGTCAGGATAAGCCCCATTTATCAATGATAGAAGAAGATCGGGAAGAAAGAATCCAGTGTAATTTTGCTAAAAGAGAAGCACACGCCCTGTAATTCATTCTTCCACTTCCGAGTACTGCAGTATCCACATACTTTATCCATAAACCTAATATTAAAAAAATCAAAAACTAAACTCCTAAAGGGCGGGCCAGCTTTAGGTACGGAGCCCGTTGCCCGTCTCTAACGGCGGCACCGAACAAAGCCAAACGTTTCCATTGATTCCAATGTAAAAGTGGACGATGTGCACACATTGCCAGATGCATTGCCAGCAATTCAAGGGTTTCTTCTATAGCGTGATGTAAAAATCAATAATAGTCTGTGGGGCAAGATATTTTTTACGAAATTTGAAACTTAATATCTGCTAAGAATTTTTAAAATTTCCGGAATTTTGCCGTTAGATGTTTGTTTATTTCGGCCATTTGTTTTTGACATGTTTAGGAAAATGAGAACACTGAATAGGGAGGAATGGCTCCATCATTATCTTTTGAACCAACCCGGAGACATAAATTATAAATGATGGAAAAATTAAAGAATGTTTGAAAAGTCCGGAAATAACGTTTTCACTTTTCGACTTTTGATGCGCAATTGAAAATTTTTCTTCGGTTCCAATCGACACAAACAGTTTTTTGCCGTGCAAGAATATCTGAAGGACAAAAGTATCGATTGAGCAGTCATCCAAGACCACAGTTCTTCGATTCGCAAAGTTTCTCTTCGAGAGTTTTCTCTTTTCTTCTGCATATAAATACATTTTCTGGTTCGTTTCGTCGAGCTGTCTCCAACGGCGTTTTTTCTTTTCCGGATCGAGTGTTTTTTCCAGAGCTACAGCTTCCGGAAATTTGGTACTTCTGGTGCTTTTTCCGAGGTTCGGCCGACGTAAGTTGTCTTCTCACTTATCGTTTTATTTGCCTTTTTATCTCCTGTGTCGTGGTAATTTCCGATTTCCTTTGTCTTTATTACTCTTGTTTTTCGCCACCGTTAAGCCTTAACGTGAAGAATAAGGCTTCTACTATTCTATTTCAAATGTCTTTTCTGCATTTATGCAAGAAATCGAACATATTTTTAGACCCTTCTAAAAATTCTCAACGATATTTAGTGTTTCATCGTATATAAAGTTTACGCGGGGAGCGCATGCGCATAAGTTGGCTTTATTCGAACTCTTCGTCTTAATATTCGATTTTATATTTATATGATTTGAGAACATCCAGCATATTTTTCGAATTTAGTATACCTGAAAAAGAACCCAGAAGGGGCTAGAAAACGTTTGTTATTAATTAATCACTTAGCGGTTAGTGGTTGCTGCCAACCTTTATTATCGTTATCCCAGTGTGGTAAGCAGATAGCTAAAAATTTTATACTTAGTATCGAAACCTAATTGTTGCACTCGGTGAAAACGGGTAAGATCGGCTATAATCTACTAATCTTAATCTTTGCTATCGTTATTTTTTCTCCGAGCAACGCTGGGCACATCTGCTAGTTCACAATAACAGTATTAGGAACACCCCCGAACCTCAAGTATTTATGGGTCGTCATTGATCAACGCCTCGCGTGGCCTGGCCGAACTCGTAACAGGCTTGGTGAATAAAGAGGCCCTCTTAGTGCCCAGAGGACCGAGTGAAAAAATAAATAAATAAAATCCTCGGAGTGGCAAGTGTGCCTTTGCCACTTTCACTGTTTCTCTAAAATTATCCTTTCTCAAAAGGAATGCAAGATTTTTATCTGCTTACAAAAGAACAGAAAAAGATTAGATCTGCAGAAACTGCTTTATTTTTGCAAACATTATGTTTTTACAAATTACATAAGTTTCATTCTTTAACGAGGGATTTTTAAACAGATTTTTAATAACATTTATATAGGTCCNTTGGCCCGCTGTCACTACGCTTCGCCAATCGCGTTAATTCTTGACAGTTGAAGCGGACAGACACGAGCGTCATGGCAGTATGTGATAAGTGATGATATCAAATATGGATAACAATGAAATGTCCTACACGTGTAAATAACTGAGAAAGAACAGAAAAGGACCGCGAAGTGAAAATGTGAAAATAAATATGGAATTGAGTCGATAACATAATCGAACGAGTCGAAGCAGCTTATTGGCACGAAATTCGCGGCCGTCAATGCCAAACAATTGTTGTCATAGACTTTGTAAAGCTAAATGCTTGTAATGAAAGTCACTTAGCGTGCACGGGCGAAAGCCTGGGGCCGTTCGGGCTATCAAGTTGTCGCGAATCTGTGAAATCATAACTGTGACTTATATCGACGTCCTATCTGTCTCTTTTATCCGTTATCACCAGGCTGAGTCACGTAATGTTAAAATGGGAACTCTACGACGGAAAAGTGACGAATCGAAGGTATCGTGAGCGCGTATTGTGATGTATGCACAGGCATAGCCTACATGGATTAGAGCGATAGAGGAAAGAGAAAGGGAAGAGCAAAGACGAGCGCTTAAAAAGAAGGATAGGCAGGGTCAGACCCTCAGATGTGCGAGGATTTTCCAACGATAGAAGTGTACGTATGCTGATCTTTGTAATTATAAATTGTGAATACATGTGACTAATATTATTTTCTTTTTTATTTTGTGCATGTTACAAGTTATAAATAAATATAAACAAACAACACTAACTCTATAACATTAACTCTAAATATCAAAATGATTTATTTACTGTGTTTTTGTTGTTTATAACTCCTGTTTTTAGGTATTCGGTATTCGGCCGAATAGTGAAAAATAGGCCGAATAGGCCGAATACCGAATAGTAACCGAATATTCGTTACATCACTAATAGAAATGTTGCGAAGACAACCAAAAATGGCCTTTTGCTCTTCAAAAAGTACAAATTATTCCTAGATATATTATTGTTAAAAACAATAGTTCCCGTGGAAGTGTGTTTGGGATTATTTGTACGCGTATCCGTTTCTTCGTAATTAAATAACCGTTCCCGTTTTCTCCATCCGAATACAAGAAGAATTTTTTTACCATTTTCTGTCATAAATACTTAAACGTGATACAGGGTTTAAGCTACTGTGGTTTAATGCATTTCCTGTGGAGCACTACGTCATATTACCACGAAAAGCTTAAAAAATCAAAAACTAAACTCCTGAATGGCGGGCCAGCTTTAGGCACGGGGCCCGTTGTCCGGCTCTAACTGCGGCACCGAACAAAGCCAAACGTTTCCATTGATTCCAATGTAAAAGTGGACGATGTGCACACATTGCCAGATGCAGTGCCAGCAATTCGGGGGTTTCTTCTATAGCGTGATGTAAAAATCAATAATAGTCTGTGGGGGCAAGATATTTTTTACGAAATTTGAAGCTTATTATCTGCTGAGAATTTTAAAAATTTCTGAAATTTTGCCGTTAGATTTGTTTATTTCGCCCATTTGTTTTTGATATGTTTAGGAAAATGAGAACACTGAATAGGGAGGAATGGCTTCATCGTATCTTTTGAACCAACCTGAAGACATAAATTATGATGGATAAATAAAAATGATGGAAAAAAATAGAGAATGTTTGAAAAGTCCGGAAATAATGCTTGCACTTTTCGACTTTTGACGTGCAATTGAAAATTTTTCTTTGGTTCCAATCGACACAAACAGTTTTTTGCAGTGCAAGAATAACAGAAGAACAAAAGTATGGATTGAACAGTCATCCAAGACCTCAGTTCTTCGTTTCGCAAAGTTTATCTTCAAGAGTTTTCTGTATTCTTATGCATATATATACATTTTCTGGTTCGTTTCGTCGAGCTGTCTCGAACGGCGTTTCTTCTTTTCCGGATCAAGTGTTTTTTCCAGAGCTACGGCTTCCGGAAATTTGGTACTTCTGATTGCTTTTTCCGAGGTTCGGTTGAACGTAAGTTGTCTTCTCACTTATCGTTATATTTGCCTTTTTATCCCCTGTATCATGGTAATTCCGATTTCCTTTGTCTTTATTACTCTTGTTTTTTCGCCACTGTTAAACCTTAAAAAGTTTAACGACGTTTGAACGTAACGTAGGTGCCAACTCTAAGAGGCCGGAACCCGTTCGACCCTCAGTAATATTTTAAAAGATTTCGCCCCCAAGTTGAATGTTAAAAAAAATAATTTCTATTTTTCAACTTTGAGGAAGCTGGCATCGTTGAAAATAATATTGGGGCTTACGGGTTCCGGCCTCTTAGAGTTGGCAACCATTGAACGTATTCATAAAACATTTCGATAATTGAACTGTGATTGATTTGTGCCATTTTACCACGCAGCAAAGGCTTCGTTATTCACCGTTTCAAGATGGCAGAAGAAACATTCAACGAATACTCTGCCTATTTATTAATGATATAGTTATTAAAGTTATTTGATATTATTATCAAAAGAAGTACAGTAATTTTTACCCTTTGGATGCCAAAGAGCGCTGATGATCACGAATAACAAGTACGAGCCTTTTCCATTCAAAATGTAACATTTTTAGCTATTTTCATTAAACCATTATAACTTCGTCGGATTTTATTTCTTTTGACTTTGTTTATGATCTCAGACAATATTTTTTCCCATGATTTCATATGAAATATGTTTAATAATTTATATATTTTCTAATTAAAATTTTTTTTATAAAACTGTAATTTTAAATTATATTAATTTGTATTTTTAACAGACTTTTATATATTGATGTGATTTGGACATTATATTTGATTTAAGTCTCATTTCTCCAATAAATAAGTGTAAAATCCTGTGTTTATTGTGTAGCAATTACTGGCTAATTATAAATTTTATTGACATACTGTATTCGGTTCGAAAACTTACAATGACGAATATAAATGCTGCTCTGTTTCTGGAACGTAGCACAGTAAAATTTTTATATTCAATATTAAATTTATTCTTTAATCAGTTTTTAATTAATATAAATTTTTTCCTATTTATTGTTTACTTTTGTATAAATTAACGCTTTTATCTGTTTGTTGTCATTACTGTCTGTAATTCTGCAATTTATTTATTTTTTTGAATTTTGTTCATTATCTAGAAAATATGGAAAAAATAATTATGTAAAATATCTCTGTAAAAGCACGTGTTTCTGTAAGTTTTGTTTACGATAGCAGTTTTGTGTGACGTTGTTATACGCTTCCTGCCTAAATCAGACAGCGCTACGATAAAGCACCCTCTTGCGATGGAAATTTGAAAAACAGTAACAAACACGTGTATTTACATAGATGAAATGATTATAGTTTAAAGAAATAATTTTATTTCCTATCACTTTTGAGATGACTTTATGTAAAAAATCCATTAGAGCAGGAAAAAGTTTGAATAAACAGGCCAATTTCATAAAGTTACTCAAAATATTCAAAAATACAGTATACAGCTTTTGGTATTCCACAAATGCACGTACTGTACAGTACTACCCAAATCTAGCTAATACATTCCAATACAAGTGAATTGCCCAAAAGAAAGTTAATCATCTATGTTACATCTCTTTTGATAATTTTTACTTTCGCGGCTGTTATATATAACAGAGGAAATGTATGGCGATCCGTCAAAAAATAACCCCCCTTTTTACATTTTTGAGGACAGGGCCGTGCCGTGCTATGATGCAGAGATCGGCGACATCAGGCGGCACCGTGAGGGGGCGGCATAAAAAACATACTTAGAAAATCTACCGCACGGCCCTGGTAAGATATACCAAATAATAAGAATTATAGCTTATATACGACTAATAATTTATATAAGGGGCGGCATTTCGAAGACTTGCATCATACTTGGAAAATCTACCGCACGGCCCTGTTCGAGGACACCTTGAAATGTCGAGAAATGCAAAAAAGGGGGGGGGGTAATTTCAGTATGTATGTTGTTAGTGTATAGCACGATTTTGTTCACACTGTTTGAAGCTTAATAACTCCTGTGCTTTTCGTCGAAATTTTGCAAGGAGGTTTATTAGGGAAATTGATACTATTAAATTTTGGTGGTTAAAGGTCGAGGGGATGGGGAGATAATGGGAGTCGTGTGTATCTCCAGTAAGATCGGACTCAATAACGATTTTACTCGTTAACATTTACAATTTTTTTTAATATATAAAACTCAGCCCTACCCACAAAATTAAGCTTTCTGCCATTTTATAATGTTAGTTAAAAATGTAAAAAGTTTTTGTAATAAAGCAAGATAGCAGATGGCGCCACGAAAATTTTAAATGTCGGAAAAGTCAACTCCCCACCCCTTGACAAGGGGAGGGAAGGGATTGAGTTTCAGTGGACGTCGGTGTATTTCATTAAATTTTATACTCTCTATATTTTATTTATTTCAGAATTTCTTGTGTGTTTCGTTTCTACTTATGATATCTACCATTCATAAAGTGATAAAGATTTCAAGGGGGGTTGTTTTGTTGGACATCCGAAGGTGAGGAGGTTATGGAAACGTGGACAAACTGGGACAAGAGGGGGAGAGTAAAAATTTCAAGAAAAATGTGGACGTATGGGCAGCTCCTAACATTGATGGTACCAACCCGATGTGTTCCAGTAGCATATTTAGCACTGAGTGTCCTGGTTTCCTGACCAACACGCGGGTACCTTGTTGATCCAGATGAAAAAACAAAGATTATGGCTATTGGTAGAGAAAGGGACTAACAATTAAACTTGGTAACAAATACTTAGAACACGTCAATAAGTTCTCATACTTAGGAACAATTTTTAGTGAAGACGGAAAGTTAGATTTAGAAATCAGCAATCAATTAAGTAAGGTAATTCAGGCAGGGAGCCACTCGAGCAAATACTGTATATCTGGAACAAGAAAGATATAAGTCAAGACAAAACAAGCTATGTACAACACAATTTTTAGCTATATTGATACATGGTTCTGAGAGTTGGATGAGAAATAAAGGAATTGACCAAAAATTACAAACTGCAATGAGAGTATTCAGAAAAATTAATGGTGTTAATAGATGGATATAATGGCAAAATCATATTAAAAAGGAAGAAAAGAAAAAACCACAAGGTAACTAATATTCAGATGAGAGTAAGTGAGCTAATCTGAGGTGGTTTGACCATTTAGAAAAAATGAGAGAAGAGCAACTTGCCAAACAGGTATTTGAAGCTAAAATCAAATGAAAAAACCAAAGGGACATCCTAGACAAAAATAGATTGATAGTGTTAAGCAGTCCTCAGAGGAGAGGAATTTAACTTTATTCTAGGCTAAAAATTTGCCCGTCGATTGAAGTTTGGAGAAAAGTAGTGGATGATAGTATAAAAGTTTGATTTTTCACCATATTGACCTGTACACCTTCTGGATATTATTTAATAGGAATGGATGATGATGACGATGACTGTGTTTACTGATACTTGAACATCTTATAGTATTGATGGATTAATTTGTAATATTTTAAAACAACATAAATAGGGATACTTCATTATAAAATTACATATAATTAAAAATTTTGTTAATAGAATATATAATTTTTTCTTTTATTAATAATTCACAAATTTATTCTCAAAAATTTATTTCCATAAATTTAAGAAATACAAAATTTTAAGCTTGTAATTTTGATTTAGCAGTATAAGCTAAATACCATAATAACACTGCAGTTACAGCTGCAACAAACTCACTCTGTACCCAAGGACCAAGATGTGTTCCCTATAAACAGATAATTATATATATAAAATCTAATTCTTAATTATTGTTTAAACAAATTACTTAATATAAATTATATTTAAAAATATGTCTTACTTTTAATATATTTATTGATATTTAATCCCATAACTGAATTCCAATACATACACAAAAAAGAAGCAAAGTTACCTGAATTTTTATTTGTATTCCATGTATTATGAAAACAAATTGAATTATCCCTTTGATTACACAAGTGTTAATAAGTTTTATAAATACTTGAAGATCTTGATTTTTAATCAAGATAATTAGTCCTTGATAGGGAGAAATGGAAAAAATGTACTAGAGAAGGAAACACTGACCCCATATAAACATAGGAAAAGGCAAAGATAAAGAAGATTAATCAAGATTTTCAAGTATCAACTTTATCGAGATTAAAATTTATTTAAATTCAAACAAGTTGAATAAAAATCATATGATAAATTCAGGTATAAAATAAAAAAAGTCAAAAAATATGACTTCACATTATGGTAAATTACAATGGATAAACTGTATTTTATACAATACAGTACAATAGCCCCTCATTATATTGTGCATGTCCAAGGACAAACCAAATATGGAATATATCAGATGACAGGTTATAACTGATCTATCCACCAGTTTTGTCTATTTTCCATCTCCAAGCTGACTTACCTTTCTGTGGATTGTTTTTCATACAATGGTAGTTATCAGGCCAATGATTATAAGTAAGGTAATATTTCTTTGCAAGTAGAAATTCAATGACAGCCACTTTTTAAAATTATTGGCTAAAGCAGTTTCATATTTGAAAGACAAAATAGTGTAATATATCTAAATGAGCAATATATAAGAGTCTACTGTATTATATACAGTCAGTTCTAAATGTTTAGAATAATTCTGGTACTTTGAAACCGTGCTAGTAGTTATTAGTAGTAATTCAAACACAAATTATTATTGTATTTATTTTCAGGCACTTGGCAATTTTTATCATCAAATTTTATTTAGTTGACAACTAAATAAAATTTGGTTTGCTCTGGGCGATGATGAATCAGTCAGTGAATGAGTCAGTCAGGACAAGCAATTTTATATATAAAGGGTTTTCCATTAAGGGCACTTGAACTTCAAAGTTAAATAAAACAAATTATGTATGAGATATCAATAATTTTATTTTTTTACTTGAAAGAGTATTCGATTATGTTATGTATGAAATATAATATTGGCCAAATGGCTGCCGTGGCTTTGCTGGGCAGCACGTATACGAGAGGTCCAATTTTTGATGATTCAACTGCATAAATTGGGCTTGATATCATTGATGGCATTGGTTATATTGACTTTTAAGGCATCAATTGTCTGCAGCTTATTTGCATAGACCTATGATTTAACGTAGCCCCACAAGAAAAAGTCTAATGGCGTTAAGCCACATAATCTCAGTGGCCAGCTGGTGTCACTGAAACGCAAGATAACCATGCCATCGAATTTGTCATGCAGAAGATCCATTGTTGCATGTGCTGTGTGGCAGTAGTGCCATTGTGTAGGAACCCCATATCCTTGAGATCCATATCTCCCAATTTAGGCCACAAAAAATTGATTATCATCAACCTGTACCTCTCACTGGAGACAGTTATGATGGTGCCAGCTTCATTTTGGAAGAAGTACAGACCAATGACCCCATCAGACCAAAATCCACACCAAACAGTGACTTTTTCTGGATGCATTTGCAACTGATGGGTCTCATGTGGATTGTTATCTCCCCAAATGCAACAAATTTGCTTGTTTACATAGCCATTCATCCAAAAATGGGCCTCGTCACTGAAGATGATTTTCTGTCCGAAATTGGGGTCCACTTCCAACTGCTCCAGAGCGCAGTCAGCAAATTCTCGACACTGCCTATAGTCGTTTACCTTCAGTTCCTGGGTCAATTGAATTTTGTATGGGGAGTGCAGGCCCGTCTCGACACAAAATTTGCCGAGTTGAGGTCTGTGAAAGGCCAAGTTCTTGGGTGCAACAACAAATTGACTGCAGGTTATCCTGCACACTAGGGTTTCTCATTTCCCGGGAAATTTGCCTCCAGCGGGATTACGGGAAAAATAATTTCTTTTCCCGGGATCCCGGGAAATTCCGGGATGAGATAGTAAAGTGGAATTTTATATGAATAAAAAAGATCATACAGGAATATCATAAATTTGAATAATTTAATTTATTTTCTAGTAAGTAACTAAAAGTATAGGGCCAATCTCACCCATACGGACACTTTAGGCTCAATTAATTTATGTTCTCCTACATTATAAGATGAAAGTAAAATAAAGCGTTTCATTGGGAGTTTTAATGATTACGAAAAAGAATACTATTTTATTTCTAAAGATGAAATAAAAAATAAACTAAAGTGCGATGAATGATATTTACTTTCAGCGAGTGCTCCGCTGTTCAATGATGCGCAAACACAATACATAGATATTACATGAACTAACAAGTAGAGACTTGTAAAACATAGGTAAATAATATGCAGCATGAAACCTCAAAAATTCTCTCTTAGGCGAGTCTTCAAGATGAAACTTTTCGTATAATAAATAATAGAAAGAAAACCTGACATGATAAATTATTATTGAAATGCGAGATTTCCCGGAAAAATAAAATTTCCCGGGATCTTTCTCGTAGGGACTAAACGGCGGGAATCCCGGGAAAGAAACCCTACTGCACACTCTTGTTCACTGCAGCAATGTTTTCTGCAGACCTCACATTTCAATAATGTACAGATGTTGTTTGATTGTTTACTAAACCAGCTGATTCAAATTTGTCCAACAAACAACAGTCGACTCAACAGGATGATTGTGTACACCGTAAAAATCACATAGCGCACAGAATGTAGCTTGAACTGAGCACTCATTTTGATAGTAAAGTTTAATGATTTGCACACGTTGCTCAACACTGTAATTTTCCATGATGATCTGCCTAACATTAATTACTCCAACCTCCAAATTTGACAGCTGTAGCTTCACTAGCATGGCCACTATACACAGTCAAAGTTCAAGCACCCCTAGTGGAAAACCCTGTATATGTAGATTTTAATTAATGACCAAGCAGAAGTTCCATTTTAAAAATTTGAAATCATACTATTTGTACAAAAACATAAGTGTAAAAGCTTGTCAAAATTAGAATGAAAACAAGTTTTAATATTGTTCAAACATGTGATTTCTTTTAAATTTGCCTATTTATGGAATTTAATTGTCAAACTTGTCTTGTTTTTACTTATATTTGGAATATATAATTAATAATAGAAATAGAAACCTATTCTAAACTAAATAAATTTCCTATTANTATTTCCTTCTAAAATGGAAATAAAGTTACGTGCCAAATGATATTGCTTACCGCAATTAATTGCATACTGCCACGTGTCATGTATGTATCAAATATGTCATTGTCAATTGGATTATTTTAGGATGTTCCCGTCCTCGTAATCACGTAAGATTACTGGATAATTTAATTTCTACATCTATATATATAATCGAGACGAGTTGATAATAATAATAATCAGCACAGAGCCCAAACGGTTAGGAGTTGAAAGTTGAAATTTGGTACACAGTTAGGATACGTCACGAGAACGCACACTAAGAAGGGATTTTTCGAAATACCTCCCCACGGGGGAGAGAGACAGGATTAAGCCTTAACACTTCCATGAACAATGGAAGTATTAAGTAACAATGGAAGTGTTACATAACAATGGAATTGTTAAGAGAAAGCAACGTGAAAGACGCAGATGCAGTTTTTTATGTTTTTGTGGGAAACCAAACATTTTTAGACCAATCTAAAAATTCTCTAATTAGTCCGGAAACAGGGGAACCAATTCTTGCATTTTGTGAAAACGGGAAAGGTTGACTATAACTTATCAATAATAATCTTAATCTTTGCTATCGTTACTTTTGCCCGAGCAACGCCGGGCCTACCTGCTAGTTCATTTATACTATTGCTTTCACTGTGTCAAGAGACCAGCAACTTATACCCAGGATGTATTATTGTGAGTACTTGGACAGGAATATACAGGCTATGTATGCCCAATACCCTAAAAACGTGGCTTTTCTGTTGGTACGATCTCAATGGCATCAAAATATAATACATTTTCACGCTAATACCGTACATAAATATTTCCATTTTTTATGTTGCCCGGCCATTAATTGCGTGTTATGAAATCGCGGTCAGATATTCTGTGAATTTATAAACCGAGACCGTAAAATGTTTGGTGTAAAATACAATAAAGTTGCCATAGAACTTACAATTAGCCAACTCGGCCCAGATCCAGCAAATAATTTATGGCAAATCTTATTCTAGAGCGGATCTTATTGTCGATGGACAGATGGAAGCAAAGAGATCCTTACTCGAACCGAACGTACTCGCATTCTCCACTTTTTGCCATTTTACACACTTTCTGCACGGATCTAAATGTAGAAAAAGAAGTATAATTATTCATTGGAAACGTATAACTCGATTCGAATTCCACTAAAACATATTTCGGCGTTGTATCGATCGACTGTAAATGTTGGCCTACAAAGAACGAAAGTTACATTTTGAAATTTTCTACTAATTCATTGGTTCGGTGACGTTTTTAATTCAATTTTTCATTCAAAATAGCTTATTTTTTCATTTCTATCTTAACTTTTCATCCAATCAGTAATGACACTGGCTTGGCGAACGAATAGGCCGATACAGCGCCGAACAATACGTGAAAGTTATGCGATTCGCAAACATTTCCAACTCAAATTTGTGTTTAGATCTTAATTCTATAAAAATTGTTGGTGTAATCGATACTTGGGCTTAGCGCCACACTCGATTTTTTGCCAATTTCAGAGGCTGAATCGAACTTTGTTCGCGCGTACAACATCTTACCTCTTAAAGGGTTTCCACATGCTCTTAAAGAACGACCCGAATTTCTTCAATCTATTTCTATCCCTGTAATGGCCAGGATTATCTTGCACGCAGTCTTCGTGCTCTGCCGGGTCTTCGTCTGTTTTGGTGTT